TTTGATTCCATTATTATCAGAAAAGATACTCAGTATGATGTCAACTCTTTTATAGTTTGTATTATGGCCCAAGATATGTTTTACCTTGGCTAATGTTCCATGGGTACTTGAAAAGAATATGCAAGCTGCTATTGGAGAATAAAGTATTCTATATATGTTATTCAGATCTTATTGGTTGATAATTTTGTTTAGTTCTTCTCTATCCTTGCTGATTTCAGTTTAGTAATCTATCAATTAAAGACTGTGAAGTGTACAAGTCCCCACTGTAATTGTAGGTTTTTCTTTTTTAAATTTTTTATTTATTGATTTTAGAGAGTTAGAGAAGAACATTGATTTGTTGTTCCACTTATTTATGTATTCATTGGTTGATGCTTATATGTGCCCTGAACTGGGATTCAACCTGCAACTTTGGCATATCAGGATGATGCTCTAACCAACTGAGCTACCTGACCAGGGCTAACTTTAAGTTTTTCTATTTCTACCCCAAGCTGTTTTAATTTTTTAAAAATTATTTTTCAATTACAGTTGACATACAACATTATATTAGTTTTGAGTATGTAGCATAGTGATTGGACATATATATGTTACAAAGTAATTATCCCAATAAGTCTAGTACCCATCTGACAGCATACATAGTTATTACAATATTATTGACTATATTCCCTATGCTATACTTTATATTCCTGTGACTATTTCTATAACTGGCAATTTGTACTTCTTAATCCCTTTCACCTTTTTCATGCATTCCCTAACCCCTCTCCCATTTGGTGACCATCAATTTGTTCTCTCTATGAATCTGATATTTTGTTTTCTTAATTGTTTTGTTTTTTAGATTTCACAGATAATCAAAAAGCATGTGGTAACTGCTTTATCTGTCTGACATATCACTTAGCATAATATCCTCTACGTCCATCCATATTGTCACAGATCATGAGACTACATTCTTTTTATGGTTGAATTATAATATTCCCTTGTATAGATATACCACATCTTGTTTTCCATTCACCTATCAATGGACACTTAGCCAATGATACACGTATGAGGGGTTAAAATCCAAAATATATAATAAAATTATAAACTTAACAACAACAAAAACAATCTGGTTAAAAAATGGGCAAAGGACCTGAGTAGACATTTCTTCAAAGAGGTCATACAGATGGCCAATAGACATATAAAAAGATGCTCAATATCACTAATCAACAGCTCTGTTAATTTTTGCTTCGTGTGTTTTAAAGCTATGCAGTTTAGTCCAAACACCTTTAGAATAGTTATGTCTGCCTGGTGGATTAATCCTTTTATCATTCTGTATTTTCCCTCACTGTCTCTAATAATTTTTTTTTGTTCTGAAGATGACGTTATCTGAAGTTAAGATAGTCACCTTATTAATGTTTGCATTGTATACCTTCTTCCATCCTTTTACTTTCAACATACCCATGTCCTTGTATTTCAAGTGAATTGGTTGGATCATTTTTTATCTACTTGGCCAATCTCTATCCTTTAAATGGTGTGTTTATGTGAAAGATAATTAGCTAAGGCTTAAGGTTGCCAATTTATGTCTTTTTCCTCTTCATTTCCTCTGAATCTCATCCCTGTTTCTCTTTTCTAAATTCCTATGAGTTGCTTTGTAAGAATACCCATCTTTTTTCTTTATAGTTGCTCTAGTTATTAAAAATATGTCACTTGTCCCAGTCTACTGGTTTCAGGATGTATCAATCCCATAAAAATGTAGAAATTAGATTCCTTTACCCTCCATACTTTAAAAATATAATTATTTAAATTTTGCTTCAACTATCAATTATGATTTAAGAATCTCCTGAGAATTATGAGTCTATTATACTTACTCCTATTTGTACCCATTCCAATATTCTTTTCTTTCTGCAGTTTCAATTCTTTTCCTATTATTTCCTTTATGTTTGGAGAACATCTCTAGCCATTCTTTAAGTGTTGATTTGCTGATAAAAAATTCTCATAGCTTTCAGTCATGTGAGAATGTCTTCATTTCCCCTTCATTCATGAAATATGTTTTCACTGAATACAGAATCCCGAGTTGACAGTTCTTTCCTTTCAGTATTTGAAGAATACTATGCCACTTCCTTCTGGTCTCCATGATTTCACGTGAGAAATTTACTATCATTCAAATGAGTAATTTGAGTAACACATTTTTTCTCTCTGGCTGTTATCAAGTTTTTTCCCTTTGTCTAATTGTATTTAATTATCATATGTCTTGCCATTGACCTACTTGGGTTTATCCTTTTTGGAATTTGCTTAGCCTCTTGAATGTATATGTTTATGCTTTTTATTAATTTGGAGTTTTCAGTCAATACATCTTCAAACATCTATCGAGTTCTACTTTCATGACATGGCTGTTTGCCCTTTTGTTATTGCCCACATGTCCCTGGGACTCAGTTCATTCCAGTCCATTTTCTCTCTGCTGTTCAGATTGGTTAATTTCTATTGATCTATCCTAATGTTCAATGATTTTACCTGCTGTCATCTCCACTCTACTGGTGAGCTGATCCAGGTAGCTTTTTATTTTGGTAACTGTATATTTCAGTTCTATAATTTCCATTGAGTTCTTTTTTATCACTTCTATTTCTTTGATGAGATGTTTTATTTCTTTGCTTGCTTCAAGAGAATTCCTAACTGCTTGTTGAAGCAATTGATAATTTCAACATCTGATTCATGTCAATATTAGCTTATGTTGATTGTCTCTTCTCACTCATATTATGATTTTTCTAGTTCTTGGATGACAAGGAATGTTTTATTGCATTCTGAGCATTTAGACTATATGAGACTCAGTATTATTTCATCATTTTTCTTAACATTTTGTCTCTGTTGAAGTTTAGCACAAAACCATGTGGGTATCAGTGGAATGGAAAGTCAACTCTCTGTTCAGCCCCACTGAAGCTATGGAGAGTTGTCTAGAGTTGTACCATTGGTGTTTGGCTGAAATAGGAAAGGTGTTGTCTCAAAGGTTTTCTTGGATACACCACCCTTCTCCTGGTCATTTAGCTTTTCTTGAAACTTGTGTGTGTGTGTGTGTGTGTGTGTGTGTGTGTGTTTGTCCATGTGTGTGTGTCTATTGCTGGTTCAGGAGGGAGTCATCTGGATTGCTCTATTCGGGTCATATGGGAATCAATACAGAAATCCAGGGAGCTCACCTCCATGTCATTAGATTAGGTCATGTACAGGGATTTCTATTTGTAAGGGGGAAAGTCTAATTGAAATGTGGCTACTCCATACTGGCAGAATCAGAGTGTGGATTAATTTTTATATTCAAAACTACTCCCGTCTTCAATACCCATACAATCAAAGAGAATTTTAAATAAATTTTTAGCCCACCTTCTCTAACAAGTTTTTCAATCATAAGACTTTGTGTCTCCAAATATCAAACTGGCTCTGTTCATTGGGAAGTTACCTAAAGAAAGGCCTTAATCGTTTGAAGCATCTTTTTTAAAAATATATTTTTATCAATTTCAGAAAGGAAGAGAGAGAGAGAGAGAGAGAGAGAGAGAGAGAGAGAGAGAGAAACATCAATGATGAGAGAGAGTCATTGATCAGCTGCCTCCTGCACAGCCCACACTGGGAACTGAGCCTGCAACCTGGGCATGTCCCCTGACCGGGAATCAAACAATGACCTCCTGGTTCATAGGTGGTTCAATAACTGAACCACGCTGGCCGGGCTGAAGCATCTTTTCTATTTAATGTCATAAGCACCATCACTGGACACCTATCTGAGGTTTGGAAATATTCCAATGCTGCTATATTGGGGGAGGGATGCAATCCAGACCCAGGCAAAGACCAAACAAAGGGAAAGTCCCTAGGAAAATTCGCTTGTAGGTTTATGTCATTTTTTCCTACCATAGCCTAGAAAATGGCCATAAACCAACATTCCCTAGAGACACTTGTTCTTTGATCTACAATGTACCTGCTCCTTTCTCCTAAGAACAGAGCTTGCTATGGTATTTCTTCCCCTTCAAATTGAAGCTTGGATGTCAATTCTGGTATAATGTTTTCCTTCTCACCTGTGTTCTAAATCCTCTGTTCTTCACTTCCGCAGAGATGCCCAACCAGGTGCTTCTACCACCTGCATCTTTGCACCAGTGTCACTCCCATTTGGCCCAGGGGGTCTCCCAGCCCATGCACAGTGCCTCACGGAGGCCTACCTTGGCCACTGTCCTGGGCCACCTCATAGGTCTGCTCTCCAGGGCAGGTGCATCATTTTATTGTATCTATCTGGCAGTTACAACAAAACAAATGTGAGCAACAGCAGCTATGAGTCCCAGGAGGTATGACATTGTTGTCATCGCAGCTACACCTTCAGCCTAAATTGCCACCTGGCCCTGTAGGAGTAGTATTGGTAGCAGTGGTGGTTGTACTAATCTAAAGATGGCCAAAAGGAAGTAATATTTATTTTTATAGAAATCTATTCTGGCTGTTTTCCTAGGATGCTCCAACTGGAAGGTGAACTTCTACCTCATTTCTTAAGGTGCTCCTTTAACCTGTCTTCCTTTTGTTCCATAATATTTAGGGGGCAGGCAATACTTGGAGCATTAAAGATACAGCAGAGAGCAGACACCATCTCTATCCTTGTAAAGTTTACCTTCTAACCTGGGAGACAAGTTACCCCAATAGCTACATCAACAATTATTTAATCAATTATATTAAAAGCAATAATAATATACCAAGTGACTTAAATTTTCTTTAAAATCTCAGCAACAGTCATATTTTTTCAATAGTGTCAACCCAGGTGCCAAGCACAACAGAGGATGTGCTTAGAGCAAGAGAAAGAGAAAACCAATGCAATTGTTTCAGCATTAGCAAGCATCTGAAATCCATGCGATCATTGTATTGCCATGATTTCCTCCTGCCTCTTCCTAAATGTTCACACACAAGGGTTCTGAGGCCCGCAATGAAAGATCGGTGCATTTGATGAGTTTCTAAAGGTTAAGACATAATTATTTTAAGTGATGATGTGCCCGCCCAGCAGCAGGCCTTACCTCCTTGTTCGTCCTGTCGGCTTGCACCAACGTTCCATTCAGGCAAGGTTCCACGTAGTGAAGCTCCTCATTATACTGCAGAGGGAAGAGACAGCCAAGAGGAAACAATTAAGCATTTAAAGGGTCCAATGTAATAATTTAAGGCTACAAACACACCAACAGAAAAGCAGCATGATCACAGGCTCAATTCATTCACCTAAGGTGGCTTTTCCAATTGGTGACCCTGGAGAAATCATGCTTATGTGTCAAAGACGGCCTTGATTCTTTTCTAGTTTGAAGAATTAACTTCTCGAGCACGTGTTGGTCTGGCAGTGTTCAGGGTGTACAGAGTTAAATGATAATCCTTCAGGGGTAGCTCCAAACATGGGGGCTCCCTGGGCATGGCTGACAGCACACGGCCCATGTGGGATCTAAAGGGCATCCCAGACTTGGGCGAATAGACCTGCAGCTCCTGCCTTTGGCCTCATGGAGCCAGGGAAGCACGTGTGGGTCACAGGTGTATGAGGCCAGAATAGAGGAGAGGCCTTGATGTTCCCTGGGCACTCTGGGGGGCTTCGCAGGTGTTGGTCATGACATTACTCATGCACAGTGACACCACCTTCCACACAGGCCAATGCCTGCCTTCCAATCATGCTTGATCCCAGAATACACAGAATAAGACCATTTGATTTTGTCCAAAGCTCACAACTAGGAAGTTGAAATGTGAGTGTTCTTCTCTTCATTTCTCTTATCAAGCATGATTCTCTGCACTGTAGCTAAACTTGTCCTTCCAAACTATAAATCGGACTATGTCATCTCCTGTCAACCCCATTCACAGCTCCCACTGCTCTTCAGATGAACCTGCCCAGGCCTTGGCAAGGCTCTGGACACTGGCATCTGTTGACCTACCTTAACTCAGTAGTCCTCCCCCATGAACTCAGCACAGCCAGCCCTAATCCCCTCACTCTGGCATCTGCTGGCTGACTCCTGCTCATCCTCCAGCTCAGCTCATTCCTGCCTCCACTGTAGCCCCTCTCCTGAATCCTCCCAAGTCCTAGTTACCTGGTGCCTGGTTCCCTCACCACAAGGCGGGGCCACAATGCAAGGATCCATTTCTGATTTCTGTGTGTTCCCTGTGACAGCACAGGGCTGAGCCACAGCAGGTGCCCAGGAACAATTTGTTCAGTGAGAGTGTCAGGGCACTTCTACATGGACCAAAGGCCTAGCCCGGGGTTCCTGAGGGAAGGAACCGGAACCATCTCACAGGCCCAGATCTCATGCAAAGTCTGGCTAAGGAGTTTGGACTTCAAGCTTGAGGGCACAGAGGACCATGGAGGACTGTGAGCGGGGGTGTGAGGGAAATAAAGTGATGAGCCTGGGACAACTGCTCTGGACACACTGCAGAGAAGACTCAAGAGGACCAGACCAGCAGCTGCTGCTACAGCTATGGAGACTCATCGGATTCCATGTGCTAAGGTGCTTACAAGCAAGTCGGAGTAGTGATAATACTAACACTTACTTCATCTAGACACAGGCTAGACTTCATCCACACGACATTTCAGCCTCATGTGGGAAGCACTTCCAATTACTTTCCCTTCACAGATAGTGAAACTGGGGCAGAGAAAAGATGACCAACTTGTCCAAAGTCATACATAAGGGGTGGAGTCCAGATTCAATCCCAGATAGTCTAACGGTTAGACTCTAACCTCATAGCCTCTGACTTCAGGATGACCACGCCCCCAGTGCCTCCTCTCTGATCCCCAACCCTCTATGTTTATCTCCAGTCTGGCTTTTGCTTCTTCTTTAACCTTTGTTCTTAGTGTAGACATACAAAAGCATTTGAAAAAGTATAGCTCCACGGTCTTAGAGCTTAGATCTCTTCTGGTGAAGCATGAAGGAAATAATACATTCATGCAGTTCTGAAATGCGCCATTGACAAATGGGAGCATTACATTTCATGACCAAACAGAACATCATCTCAGGATCCGTAAAGAGAGTGCACAGTCCAACCTGAAGAAGAGCTTCCCCAAAGTTTTCAGTTCATATTGGACTGAAGAGAATAAAACAGCCCTCCCCTCTGCCTCTACCCCCGTTGTTGACTGATTTGGTTCAGGGTGACAATACGTCTATTCCTAAAGCCTAAAGCATAACAGTCTGAACCAATCACAGTTATCCGGACCCCTCTGCTGGATACATGCCTACATAGCCTATCTTGCCTCGAGGGTTGGTCAAGTGACTCATTTTCATCCAATGAAACTTGAAGGGGTAGTTTCTGGGCAGTTTCAATGAATTATTTTCTCCTCTATATCCATGCCTTCTTTCATACTTGGGATGCTCTTATGCAGTTGCAAGTCATTTTGTAACCATGAGGGGACAAGATGAAAAGTGGAGAGCGAAGTTCAAGGAAGACAGAGTGGGAAGGGAGCCAGTGTGGGTCCCCGAGGACACTGCTGAGCCACTGCCGCTGCCGGCCCTCAGGCTCTCCCCTGAGAATAGGAGATACCTAGATGCTGCAGCCTTCAGCCAGTTGTTTAATAACCTGCAGCCAAAAACTTTCCAACTCCATTTCCCAGATAAATGTAAACACTTCATCTGTGTTCTGCCTAATACACACTCTCAAAGTTGATTCTTGTGGTTTACACTCTGAGCCGGGAGTCAGGACACACATCCAGTTCCCACCTCTGCCATGTACTCACTGTGTGTCCTTGGGAAAGTCACTAAACCTCTCTGATCCCGGATTCTTATGCATAAGAAGGTGCTAATTCATCTTCTGTTTATCCTCCAGAGGTCCCTGTGAGGATCCAATGAGGCAACAGACCTGAAACTGCTTTGCTAATGCAAAGGTCTGTGCCTGTGGGGAGCTGCGGAGAGGACTTAAAAGTAAAGAAGACCAAGAAGTTCTCGCCCTCATCAGGGAGGAACATGTGCAGTAATCAAAACCATGCTTGCCTTCGCTGTGTGAGCTGGGGCCACAGTGGAGGAATCTGCTCTTCTGAATCCCCGCCAGCTTGTTAGTGGCATCATCCAAGCTTGCAGTTGACTAATTTCCCTTGACTGCATCAGGATAAAGCTACACTGAGCAATCTGGTCTGCAGCACCAAAGGGAGCTGGCTCAGCCGTGTGAAGGAACGGTGCACCCCAGGCAGCTGTGCCAGGGGGCCCGCTGGCTGTGCAAGCTCACCACGCTACCCCAGAGCTCCTCCAGGGGACACCAAGGGTGTCCTGCCTGTGGAGCTGCTTCCAAGCTCCCAGCTGCTCTCTTTCACTTCTGCGTTTGTATGGATGTTCCCTACATTTCTACTCTGTGATGTGGGATGGCCATATTAATTCACTACTCCAGACCTGGGCACCTCAGCACTATGAATGGTTCTCCTGCATCCTTACTTAAACAACCAGATAGCAATAGTCTAAGGAAGAAAGGATGCAAGTGCACATGGTCATTGGCAACACGGAGTCTGCTTCTGTCATTTGCTTTTTTGCCTTCCCACTGCCAGGATTGAACCTAAAGAGAAACTCGACCAATCCCTTTCCCCCCAAAGCTGTAAATTGTTCCTCAAATTTCTGGAACATGGGTAGAGTCTCTTAGCAGAATAGCAGGGGGACCAAGCAACCCTGGAGATGGTCCAGCCAGCCCACCAACCATACTGTGAGGAGATGGACAAGCACTTTCTCCCCTTAAAGAGCTCAGAAACAGCCATATAGACACAGGGCCTCAGGCACTGCTGATTTCCTTCTCCCATCCTCTTGTCTGATTGGATCCCCTCCTCTTGTCTGATTGGATCCCCTCCTCTGATTCGCAAAGGCTAGGGCAGTAGGAACTAATGCAACTGAGGCAGACAGGTTGGGTTCAAATCCTGGCTCTGCCACACACTGAGAGCCTTCGTGTTTGTGTTGGAGAAATTGGGGATTGAACTGAACCTCCCCCTGATCTCACGGTGAAGATGAAATGAGATGATTCAGTAAAGACTCAACATAGAACCTGGCATATAGAAACAGAAAGAAAGCATCTGGCACACATGCACAGAAAGAAAGAGACTACATTTGTGAGTGTGATGTGTGTTCCATGGAGACAAAGACCATCGTGCACCCTCCACCCCCTGCTGGCACTTGCTAAGTAGGAAGGGATGTGGCAGGTGATGGCAGTGATCCACTCTGGGGAGCATTTCACAGACCCTGGACCTCCTCTGGAGAGCACAGACCCCACTATTGGAGAGAAGTGCTTCACCAGTAGGCACATGTGACTGTCTAAATACCTGAGACAGAAATCACCCGGTGTGTGGTCACACGCTATCCCTCTCTGTGTCACCTCTACCCTCTCGGTGACTCAGGTCTCTGACAGACCGAGAGCCAATACAGTGCAACCAACTCACTGCCCAATCCCCTTCCAGGAAGGCGTTTGCTAGGGTACCAACCCTTTGTTCCTGTGTTTGCTCAATGAATATTAACTAAGCACCTGCTATGTGCCAGGGACATAAAATACTGGCTAAATTTCCCCATGATCATCACTGTGGAGTGATCATGAACCACTTTTTTTTCCTGCTTTCATCAGTAAAAGAATATGCTCATTACATCTGAAGATAATGTCTGCCTTTCTTTTCAGAATAAAATGTGCTTATCTATGATGCTGCAGTGATCCATCCAAAAACAAAAGCAGACTTGAGATAAAGCCCTGATCTCCTTCAGTCTTGGACTACATCCCCCCAGTCTCTTCTCACAGGAACTGTGCCTCCCTCTCCTCTGTGCAACCACCACACTCTACCCTCTGACACATCACCATCCTTTACCTTTCTGTTGCCCAATCTCTGTAAGCTTTCCCAACGTCTCCCATTTTAAAGATACAGCCAACTCCTCAATGGGAATTTTAATGGTGATTTCAAATAGGAAGGGCAAGTTTTAAGTTGCATTAAATGAATGGCCAGAGCATTTTGGAGACAAAGAACCAATGAACTGGATTCGCCCACCAAGATTCATGCAGCTCCAGCACCAGTGTGCTATCATGTTCCATGCTGATTTGTGTGGGTCACAGCTCAGAGGCCAGAGAATGGAGGACAGCTGACTGGGTTCTGGATGATTGTGAGGACGCTAAACCCTGCTTC